ATTGAACTCTTTCTTTCAGAATTTTGATGGGATCATGAGCTAATTATATATTTCTGTTATTCTTTGGCCGATAGTAAATATCTTGGTTACTAATTAATTCATTCTTTATCCTTAAAATTAATCTACAATGGATTTTCATACTTAAAAAGTCTCTTCAGTTACTGGATTAAATTATTCTCTTTTGTTTCTTTTCAGCATTCATAAATTTTGTGAATATGTTACCATGTTGTATGATACTAGTTCGGCCCAAAATTTAATGGACTAGAAATGTCAAAATTCCTTTTTGTTAATATGAGTTCATTCTATGATAACAAAATTTTCAGGTCCAACGTCATTTGCACCACTCATTCTTGCAGCAATTGATATTGTAGAGCAAAGTAATTGGCAATATCATGTTCTTGTAATCGTAGCTGATGGACAGGTTTGGATGTTACCATACAGAGGACTTCTTCCCCTTGCTGTTTCCTTGTATTATTGTCCTTAATATTTTTTGCCATCCTCTAATAGGTTACTAAGGGTTCAACCTTACCAAATGGTTTTAGTCAACAAGAACAGGCTACTATAGATGCTATAGTTGAAGCTAGGTAAAAGCTGACATTGATTTTTTGTCGAAATTCTTCTTTACTGCAACATTCTGAAGCATTTAATATCCAGCCATTATCCCCTTTCGATAATTATGATTGGTGTGGGTGATGGACCATGGGATGCTATGCACCAATTTGATGACTACGTTCCACAACGGTCATTTGATAACTTTCAGGTAAATGCTTGCAGAATATTGTCTTTAATGTCTAGCATTATTGTAAAGCGAAAATGTAATTGAAAATAAACTGTTTGGTAAGTATAAGTCACAGAATCTTATAAAATGCGACCACGTCACAACCAAATCGCCGTATGACTGCCAAGGTTGTTGTACCATGTTGTCCATAATGCTTAAGCCCAAATTTTAGTGGTGGGCTTACCAAATCTTCTACACAAATTCTACTCCATCTCAATCCTATTGTGCGACTATAGGGGCCTTGCAATTTTTCAGTTGGAAAGGCTTGATTTCCTCACCATGAACCAAAAAAGCCTACAATCATTCTTATGTAGGTGGCTAACAGGAGATTAGATAGACACAAAGGTCATGTTGTTATTCCAGAGTTATGCTATTATTAGTCTACATACAGTAGAAGTCAGCGTATGAGAATGATGAAATTTCACTCAGTTCCTTAATAATGCCAGAACAATCCCCCTAATCAGGACAGGCTATTACAGTCTGGTCCCTTGTGCTATAGTATATACATATATTCTGCTTGGTCAGACAATTAGCCTTTACCTTTAATTTCATGTGCTTTTTTAAAATAACAATTCTGTTAATCTTGAATTGATAAAGAGAGTTTGTTGATCATTCAATTTCAAAATTAGTTTTCTTAATTCTATTGGTTTGTTAAGGAAATTATACTTTTATGTCTTGTTAATTTGACTATCATCTCTTACTAAAAGGAAATTCTAGTTTTTTGGTCATAATATTTTGATAATTGTCACTATTATCCTATTGCCACAAATTGCTATGTTCCTATTCTACTTTTATGTCTTGTTAATTTGACTATTATCTCTTACTAAAAGGAAATTCTAGTTTTTCGGTCATAATATTTTGATAATTGTCACTATTATCCTATTACCACAAATTGCTATGTTCCTTGTTCTTATCTCATTGACTCATGCAGTTTGTGAACTTCACAAAGATAATGTCTGAAAACATGCCAATGACAAAGAAGGAGGCAGCATTTGCACTTTCCGCCCTCATGGAAATTCCACTTCAGTATAGAGCCACACAAGGCCTAAAGCGTAAGAAGTAAGACTATTTAGATATTCATATATAAATCTGGAATTGTCAACATTTAAGGGATAATGTTGTTTCTTGAGTGTAACAATGATTTGAAGATTACTAAAAATGCACAGAAACAATGAGGGAAAAGCCAGTTGGGAAAAGCCTCTGCCTCCTCCACGAGCTGTTGTCGATCATGACAATGCAAAATCGTCAAAAAGTTCCCATGGACATGCGAAATACACCAACCCGGATGAGTACAGCATCCCCGTGGAGCGAGTATGTCTTATTAGTGATTAGATTTTAAGAAAGTTGCATGTACCTGAGAATGTTTCTCCTGCTTTTGTCCAGGCATGCCCTATTTGCCTCACAAATCCTAAAGATCTCGCTTTCAGTTGTGGTCATCTGGTAAGTGCTTTGCTAAACTACATAAACTGTTATGTCTTTTATAATGTCTTTCCAGATTATAACTAGTATACATACAAAAAAGGTTTTTACAGAGCCCTCTTTCAAGAACCACTTTCGAAATAGACTTATTTCGTATTCCAAAGAAGCTGTGCTGTGGGCTATTTGTAGAATCTTATTGTTTTATCTGAATCTAAAAGAGAGAATTTCTATTTATCCTTGACGCACAAGGGGGCTTCTAATGAGAATGGATTAATGACAGGGTCCATTTAGAAGGGGAATGTCTAATTGTTTTATCTTTGCTTTCTTTCATGATTTAGACTTGCAGAGACTGTGGTACAGCGATACCCACATGCCCAATCTGCCGGTCACCCATTACCACACGCCTAAGGCTATTTTCCTGATAGCAAAGTGAGTTTGCTCAGCTTGTTAGTAGTGCTGCATTCCTTCTATATATGACTTTGAAGGCTATCATTCCTGTGATCAACTTGCAATGGTGTATACTTAAGTCCCTGCATTCACCATATGATCCTGACGGCTATCATACCTCATGCCCTTGTTAGCTCTGGATTTGATGGATGAGCGAGTGCAAGAAAACTGCTCATGCGTTTCAGGTTGTTGCAAGGTGGGAGATTATTTTGTTGGCAAGGAAATATAATGTAGAGAATTGACAAGTACTGTTAAGTGGGATTGCTTTCTCTTCATTCACCCGCATGAAGATTGATGATGATGTTCCTCCATGCCAAATAGATTGAACAATAATGTTTGATACAATTAATTCATAATGATCGCGCACGAAGAATTCCGAAGATTGTTTGCTTGTTCTTGCAAGTTTTAGTTTGATACTGCTAAAAGGCTAAAATTAGGTTGAAGAAATACATTCTTAGTTATCTACCCCTTTTAGATTAAAGATATAGAACACTGATGTCTTATTGTTGAACTGCATATTGTGATCGCTTTTAGCAAATCCTGTATTGTTATTATGTTGTCGATTTCAAGGTGTTGTTACTCTTTATATACTTGAGCATTTATAGATGTTACCTTTGCCATTTACCTTTGACAAATATTGTAACATAATCATGTGTTAAATGATGAATAGCTTTTATTTCTATCTATTACTGATGAATAAACACATTGAGGAGTTCAAAGTCTGTCATGCTAAACTCAAGCGATGATACAGTAGACAAGTTTCAGTGACAGGATTTACATGGAATCTGCCTCCTGCAAGTGAAAGCCATTCTTCTCTTTCTTTTCTTCCCTTGAATTGGCTGTCAGTGTGCTCCGATCCTGAGTACGATAGAGATGGAGGAGTTACCTGAGCATGTCTCCTGTGTCGAGACGAGGGCCACTGAGAGTAGGTGAAGCGGTGAAGGTGTTTCCTTCGCCGAAGACGGAGCCATGGGCGAGGGCTAGCGGCAGCGGCCGGTCTGGTATCACCGGCAGCTCGATGTCCCCTTCCAGCATCTTCAGCGCCTCCATTATCGTCGGCCGGAGCGCCACCATGACGTGCGCGCAGAGCACGCCCACCAGCACAAACCTCTCCATGATCCCCTTGGGGTTGGAGTTGCCGTCGCCGTCGCCGTCGTCGCTCGTCAGCGCCGCGTCCAACACCTCCCCCGCTCGCCCGGCCTTGATCAGCGTCCACGCCCAGTCCGTAACGAGCACCAGGTTGGACGCCACGGACGTGTCCAGGGCGCGCCGGCCGCTCATGATCTCCAGCACCAGCACGCCGAAGCTGTAGACGTCGCTCTTCTCGGTCAGCTGCCCGTAGAGGGCGTACTCCGGCGCGAGGTAGCCGTGGGTTCCGGCGACCCGGGTGGTGAGGTGCGACTGCCCCTCCCTGCTCTGCCTCGCCAGTCCGAAGTCGGCCACTCGCGCCCTCATCTCCCCGTCCAACAAGATGTTCGTGGATTTGATGTCCCTGTGATAGATGGCGGGCTTCACCCCGTAGTGCAGGTAGACCAGCCCTTTGGCGACGTCCAGTATGATGGTCTTCCTCTGCGGCCATGTCAGGGGCGCTCTTCTCCTCCCGGAGTCGCCATTGGCGCCCATGCTCGAGCCGAAGATGTGGTCGTTGAGGTTTCCGTTGGGCATGTAGTCGTAGACCAGGTACCTCTGCTTGCCCTCTTCGCTGTCCTCTTCCGTGATGCAGCACCCCCTCAGCGGCACCAGATTCCGGTGCCGCAAGTGGCTGATGATCTCCACCTCGTTGCGGAACTCCTCGTCGCTGTCGTCTAACCCCTCGAGCACCTTCTTGACGGCGACCAGGCTCCCGTCGGAGAGCGTGCCCTTGTAAACGACGCCGAACCCGCCGCGCCCGATGAGGTTGCGCTGCGAGAAGCTGGCGGTGGCCTTGTCCAGCTCCTTGATGTCGAAACAGATCGAGCCGGTGTTGGGCCTGAGGTACAACCTGGAGCTCCTCTCCCAGGCCGCGGAGTCGCTCATCTTCTTCCTTTTACGACGGGCAAGCCACAGGAAGAGCCCGAGGGAGCCGGAGGCGAGGACGAGGGCGATCGCGGCGAACACGGAGGCATAGACGGCCGCGGAGTGGGAGCTGGAGGAGTCGTGGTCGGAAGAGGAGGGAGAGGGCTGTAGGAAGCCGAACATGCAGCCGGCGCGGGGGTCCTTGGGGCCGTACCGGTTGACGACGCCGGCCGCGTACAGGATGGTAACTTTGAAGCAGGTCGTGTCGTCGGAGGTGTTGCCGTTGACGGCGCTGAGCCGCGAGGAGACGTCCATGCCCGCGTTGAGGCAGTTGCTACAGCGGGAGAGGTCGGTGAGGTCTGCGTCGCACGCGCTGTCGAGCTCGGTGGCGTTGCCGAGCCGGGCGATCCAGTCGGCCCGGGTGTACACGCCGGCGCAGGTGGTGACAAAGGTGCTGGGCGAGGGGAAGCAAGCGGAGACGATGGAGGAGGGGAGGGAGAGGGGGGGCGCGGAGAGGTTGGCTTGCAGATCGGCGAGGCAGGCGGCGGAGGTGGCGTCGTCGGGGAGGCGGAACAGGCCGGTGTCGCGAAGGCGCTGAGCGGCGCCGATGCCGTAGACGCTGAGGAGGCTTTGGCAGCAGTCGCTGTGGTTGGTGTTGGCGGCGACACAGGAGGAGTCGTCCCAGGGGTAGGTGGAGACGTACGTCAGGTCCAAGGGGCAGGTAGCCGCCTCCGCGGCCGGGGCCGCGGCGGAGGCCAAGAGGGAGAGCAAGAGGCACAGTGATCTCCACATCTTTGCCGCCTCTCGTTCTTGGACGAGGTAGCTTGGGAAGAGAAGAGTTGGGATACTTGCAGGAGGAAGACGAGGTCAAATGGGGCGGGCGATGGTTAGTTGGTCAGACTTGGTGTCTTCTGGGAGATCGAGCGGCTTCATCGAGAGAGCGGGGCAAGTGGATGCAATGCATCCACCACTCATATTAAACAACGTTTATTAGAACCGGCAGAGGGCGTGTCCGCAGCTTAAAACAACGATTCTTAGTTCACACTTTCTTCACATGCAACGAGAGCATTGGACAGATATAATGAAGAATATTCAAAGGGTTTTTAGGTCCGGAGAGGGAGAAGTTGGAGATGATGAGCAACCAGGAAGAAGAAAGGGTTTGCTCGCCGGGAAGAAAGAGTGGCATGGAAATGTCGGGCGAGGAAATCTACACGGTGCCAGCGTGGCGATCGAGCCAAGTTAGAAGTCGGTGAACTGCCGGTTCATCGTACGTCGCGTCGGCACGGCAGATGGGTGGGTCCCATGAGGGCCTCCTTGCTTGCTCCAATCACGTGCATACTTTAATTAGTAGTAGTGGGTTCAAACGTGAGCAAGCCGTCAGATCCTTGCTGTCGCCACCCTTCCGTCGATTAAAAAAGAAGATAGAAAAAAAAAAAAGATCAACCTCCTCGAGATTATCGTCTTGGACAAATTATAAAAAAACACAACCTTCAGATTCTTTTATTTTTATAGATCATTCATTCCTTACTTTATAAAATAGAAATTAACACATTAGCTCTACTCCGCCTCCCCTCCGTGTGATCACCCCGTGTCTATCATTATCCTAATATTATTAATTTTATCATAATATTATTAATTTTATTAATAAAAATATAAAAATAAAAGATAAAAAAATTAATGTTCCAATTGATGATGGCGAACGACGACGACCGCAAGTGATTGTTATGGATGAGAAGAGCAACAACGAGAGGTGAGGGTCACTCTGCATCTGTGTTATGTCGACGTAATTGCTGAGTGATCGAGTGATAAAAGGGTCACTTGACATCTGTATAACTACATTGACGTCGACGTCAATGTAGTTGTCGAGTGATTAAAGGGTCACTTGACATCTGTATTAGGGTCGACATAGTTGTCGAGTGATGAAAGGGTCGTCGATGCAAATGCCCAACAATACTACTCTATATCTGCATCGACATCGACTCAGTTACTGAGCAATGAAGGGGACGTCAATGCAAACACCGAGCGACGCCAATGAGATCATGATAATGAGATCGATTTATCCTAGTCATAGGTTACTCGAGAGGGACATCGAGATAATCGTACAAACTAATGTGTTATATACATGTCCATATGATGGAAGGACTTAGTCTCATAGGTACTCATGTGGTGACACTAAGGATATAGTACATATGCTTATTGGAGAATGAGTTCATTGATTGATCCGCTCATGGAATGTTAGATGGTTGATGATACCTTATTGTCAAATAGTGATTTCGTCATCCTAATTATGTATTAGATCCTTAGATTTGATACACTAAGAATATTTTGTATGAGTACTCCACTCTTTGATATCAGACTTATAGATTATGAAGTTTCAAATTTAGCACAATCGTTCATCGGGAGTGGTAGCCAACCTTACAAGGACAATTAAGTGTCGATAGAGGATCATCACCTATCGATGTCATGAGAGGATAATCCATTTGAGAATATCTTAAAGGGAAAATAGACCAATCAATTATTTTATTATTATATAATATATCTATAAGGATCATATTAAAATATAAAAATTAAAAGGATCCCGGGTTGTTTTCATAAGTTATTAAAAATAATGATTCTAAAAAATAGTACAATACAATAAAAAAAAGTTAAAATCAATAGATGAAAATGTGGTTATGAATTCATTGAATAACCAAGTCTATTATATAGACATGACTCAAATGATAATATTGAATGATATAATGGTTAGACTTGTTGTCAAAGATTTTATTCATAAAAATGCATTAATCATAACAAGATTTTTTTTATTTAAGTGAACCCATTAAGAATAATCATGACATTAGTATCTCATTATGATCTTGAGTTATATCAATAGATATGAAAATAATTTTTCTGAATGGAGATCTAGATTTATATATATTAACCTAAATGATTCACTGAGAAAATAAAAAAAAAAAAAATTTTTGATATGAAAATATAAAAAATCTATTTATAACCTTAAAAAAAGCGTCTAGATAATGATATACAAAAAAAGTTCACTTTGTATTTATTAGTTAAAGAAGTAATTTGTAGGAAAAAATATTAAGAACTATATTATTGTATTAAAAGCCGATTTTATGCAATAAAAATATTATTGCATCAATAACTACTTATCAAGTTTTATGATTGTGAAATTTTATCTCAGAACTTAGTATACTCAGACTCAATTACCAAGTTACTAAATATATTTTATGATATATTATAATATTTTTTTTTCTATAAAAATAACAAGTATGCTAATAGTTATATACATTATTATATAAAATGTTTGATAGTTAAAAAAAATCTAAAAATAATTAATATCAATTAAGAACTTAAGTTTCAATATATCGATTACTAATCCATTCATTT